CTTCTCTTCCCGCTGTCCTACCTTTCGTGTCTCCCTCCTCTCAAGTTAGACAATATTAGAAGTGTTTAAGATTGACAGCCATTCATGGAGGTTCGTTGTGTGGCCCTGAGGGAGGTCTCCCGTGGCCCGTGCTTCAGCCACACAAAGGCTGAGGTTCTCACACCGTACAAGTACAAGGTTAGCGTATCTTATGAAGTGGGATTTGCGGAAACAACCAGTCAGCAAGCAAGGACTAGTTGTTGGGATGTACTTTGCGGAGCTAAAGCAGGATCTCAGAATCTCCATTTAAGACGAAGGGCAATTCGGTGCCACAGACTTGTCTCACCACAATTGCTCGAGCTCGGATTCGATCAGATTTCGTCTCACCTTTCTAACTGGGGCAGACCCCCCCAGACAGCGGCGCCGAAACAAGTCGCCCCCCCCGTCAACTTCATGACCCCTCGACTCCTGGACTGAAATGAATTGCCTGTGCTCTTTGAGGCCAGGAGTGGTCAGGATCTAGTCCTTGATCGTCGCTCGATTGAGTGCCAAAAGTGACTCAAAGGTGAGTTTCTGGATCTGCCAAACCAGAGAAGTCTCCCAATCCGAACACAGTTTGGATTTTTTCTCGTGCGCCAGGTCCTCAATGGCTGGCGGGTCACTGAGATTACCGAGGATGTGGTCACCCGGTTGAAGAAACGCCGGGACGGTGGCGCGACGTGTTTTGTCGGTTTCGTGTCAGACAGCAAGGTGAACTTAGCTCACTTTAGGGTGGTGCTTTGGATATGTATTGGTTTTCTTGTTTTCATCACTGGCATATTTTCGAGTGTAATAGAAGCCAAAACAACTTCTTGATTCATGCTGATGTTTCCTTGTACATTTTGACCCCTGTTTGGTACTCCCTCACAGCAGGTTGGGTGTAGACAAGAAGCATGTCTTTGCATGTCAAGATTGCCAAACGGTACTGTATACATAGATGAAGACTACACCTAGACACTCCATACATGGAAGATTTATACACATACATTGACCCCATTTCAACCACCCCAATTTAATTTAGGCAAATATGCCAGTCCCATGGGGTGTTTGGAAATGATGTGTCAATGTTTGCATGGTGACTCTAAAATGTCTTCCCCTTCGAAGGACCGTTGGATAGGGATGAAGGCGAGGATGACACAAGGGGAAACAAGGCTATCAAAGCCATTGCCCTGGTTCTCAAACGTGCAAGCTATTATACAGTTGTTGGTCCGGCCCAGGATATAGATTGCACGCATATTGTTCTCAAGAAGTCAGTTGGACGTGATGTTTTCTTGCTAGTGGACCATGCGAAATGTATGCAACTCTGATGAAACCTGGATGTGGTCGCAAAGCACTTGGTATTTTCCCAGCTGACTGAGGTGAAAATGACCACAAAGCAGGGTGATTACAAGGAGATTCCTCATGGCTGCGTTATTTGGGCTTCTTGGCTAAATAGGGTGTCGAAACCACATAGGTTGACTGACCGACTGACCTGCTTGCTAGTCGATCCTCTTCGTGAGTCTTACACCTGCCATTCAGAAGCCCAGGCACAGCCACAGGCGGGACTTACGCCAGCAGAGGCCCTTCAGACCTGTAATGAGCTCCCTCATCATCCTGCTCTCACCACCGATATGCCAGCCCTTTGGGTGATTTGGGTCTCTCTTTTGGTTTTGGGGTTCTGATTGTGTGTCTTGCCTTTTTGGTTGTTTGGTTGCTGGCGGATTGTTCTTGATAAGAGCTGATGATGGGGCAAAACTCAGCCAGATACAACTTGTTGACGTTGGCACATACATGCACGCACACAAGGTGGCGCATGGACACCGAGTGCCAAAAATGGCCCGGGTGGTCAGGGAAATCGATCATCTCCCGGCAGGCGAATATGCCGACCGGGGCTAGGCGTGGAGAGCGGACCAGCCAAGGGATAAGCCTAGACAGATGTTGACAGATTCTGTGTTGGTTGCCAAGACTTGAAGCAGAAGGCCAGGAAGCTGAAGACCTGTATACAAAGTTATATAAATGTTCATAACATGTCATAACCATGGAGAGCATACGTTTGAGGCCTGCAGGTGCCCCCCAAGTGTGATTTGTTGCCAAGAATATGTGTGTTTGGAGGGATCGAGTGTAGAAAAAGAGACCATGCAAGATTGACAGAATCAACCATTTCTTTGCCAGACGCCGAAAGCTTCGAACTGGGCCATGGAGAGTCCGGTCCACTCTAAGGGTCGGTCCGGGCCGGTGGTAGGCCCTTGGTGGACTCCAGCACACCACACAAGTCACTCTATGACGGTGATGGCACGGCATCCCAAGAGGTGGTTGACATATACATACCGCCTGCCCAAAAGAACAAGTTGCCTTTTTCATGTTCATAATCAGAGGTATTCAGAGATAAGCTCCATGAAAAATACGTTTCGTTCTCCCATTCCGAGGCTGCAGGCGTGAAGCCTACCAGCCTCACGCAGCAAGTGAAGGCAGATCTTCAAGGGCTCAACAAAGGTGCCCTGCGCGTGCGGGGCGTGCGGGGCGCCGGAGAAACATCAGAAGACTCTCAGTGCCCACTTTGACTCAACAAGCTTGGGAGTCTTGGAGAGAAATGGAAGAAACCCAAGAAGTGGATTCGAAAGCCTTCCCCGCGGAGAAGCATCCTGCAGAGCAGAACAGACAAAAGTGGATGAAAAGGCAATCCTCCAAGCCCCCGCGAACTGTTCAACAACATGTCATAGTATCATACCCAAACACTCCATGTCTGTCATATGTGCCTACATTGACCCCTCAAACCACCCCAATGTAGGTAAATATGCCATACATATGTGTTTGGGATAGATTCGCGTGGCGTGTGTTTTTTGATGGGTTGCACCCAGTCGTGGCATGTTCTCCGCCCGTTGATGCACCCACCTCGCGGCAGGAAGCAGGGAAGCGGAGCTTCAAGCAAAGGTCCGTGGTTTGTCCACCGACGACGCTTGGGCAGAGTAGCTGACAGATGTGGGAGCGGCTGCTTGCTTGGGCATTTGAGTCCTTAAAGCATTGGAGTTGCGGTTTGACCACTGCCAGGCACCAGTAATGCGCCTGAGCTGTTCCACATTTGCCCAAGAGAAGCGGAGATCATTCCTGAGCTGATGTCGAAATTGCTACGTGACCGTCCCAGCACTTTTGTCATTTAGTAATGGCTCCTACCTTTAAAGATCATTCCGGTGGGCATGTCTTCTTTGGAACATTTTGGAATATAGTGTTTTTACTGGAATAATTAGATTCAGGAAAATGTTTAAACTTATTCTTTTGGACCTATAAGTGACGTTTTCATCCTTCTGGAATCTGGAATATGTTGTATTCAAGGTACACCATTATTTATGTATACAGCCGCTGAAAGCATGACGAACATGGGTTTGTGTTTGTTGTGGCTACATGTTGGAATGTACTGAATGGTGTTGAAAGTCTATCTATCCATGAGTGTGAATGTATGTGAATCTATTAGCGCTTTCACTTCTATATCCATGAGCTGTGGCTGCACTCAGCATGTTACAACTACTGTAGTGATTTTGATGTGATATACTATTCAACATGGAATCAGGGGGGTCTATATATAATATATATATATGTTGATTTTCCCTTGACTTGAACTGACTGCTCCACATGTGGATGACATACTGGAACAATATCATCCCAGAGCTATGTGGAACGGGTCTGGAATAATATCTCTTCCTGGGCATGTTCTCATGTTGAGGGTCTAAGGTGGGGACCATATTTTGTCTCAATTCATCCTAGCCGGATGAATGTGGAAAGCGTTTTGACGCACAGTGTTGCTTGGTTGTTTAAGAGGTTTGCTGTGCGCCTAATTCCTCACAGGAATGGCTCAACGTTTGGGGGAGCAAGGGCTCTATTTTCGCCCTGGGCGATGCCAGCACAGTGCAGCAGGACTCGGCCGCCTGTGTTTTGCAATGGTGGGGTGTCATTGGAGCTCCTCTTATGGACAGTTGTGCAAATTGAGGGGCATGATACAAGCATTCCCCAGTCCCTTGCCCCTGTTTTGCGCAGGTTCTGCTAAGCCATCAGGGCACCAAGTGTGCAAAAGCCAGAAGACCATTCCAACCATGCTGAACTCTCCCGTCTCGCAGGAATGCGCCTGCTTTTTTGCGCAAGAGCTCTTCCAGGAGCTGTTTTCAGTGTGGTTGGGACACATGTTCCATGGGAAGAACCTCATGATCGTGATCATGAGCAAATGCGGATACGGTACATTGGCCCACCCCAGAGGCCTGAACGGGGCAGGTCATGCGCGGGAAACCGTACCGGCCGAACTCGGCAGGAGGCGGACGTGGAGAACACGGGACGCCTCAGCATCCACGCGCTGCGAGACCTGCTTCGGAGCAACTCGGAGCGTCGGGGGCCCCGCACTGGTGCTTTCCCGTTCTTCGATTCATGTGAAGAACGCCTTACGCCTTTTCAGAGCATCCATGTGGCACACACGCATACTATATTACTATATGATACTATATGTATATTGTATACATACATGTAATATCTGTAATATATTGTATATAGTCTAGTGTTTATTATGAATGGTGTCCCTACATGATTCATTGCCTTGCAATTTGTGAGGTGCCCCCCGTCCAAGTGCGGTGAGTGTGGGTGATTGGCAAGGCTAGGGATGTCGAAGCCCACCCCAATGTGCCACTGCGACGTGACCAAGGCCACCCCCAGTTCGAGGCCTACGCACAGTACTTGGAAGAGGCGTCCGACACCGTGGCTCGAACTCCGGTCCGGAGCCATCTCCGGGACGTCTTGGTACAGCGCAGAGAAGACTAGTGACTATATGACTATGTGTATGTGTGAATGGTGTGTATTTATAGTTTGGTCATATATACTGGTATAATTGTATATGTATATATATATATATATGCGTATACCACAACATTACCAAAAAAGAACAGCCTGTCATGTAGTTGCGAAGAGTCTCCCTCTTCCAGTGCATTTACATCACCCCAGCGTTACATCACCCCAGCGCTGCGACCAGCCGAGCGGCGTCAGGCCTACACCGATTCCTTCTTGGATGACACCTTTGCAGAGATCGCTCAGGCGAAGATGACGGCAGCCGGCAAAGTGGTTGGTGCTTGAAAAGGCCCCCCAGGTATTTCAAGGGCAGTCTTCAGAAAGAAGCAAGGGGCCACTACACATCCCTACACCCTGCTCCAAAAAAAGGGGGAAGCTGTAACATTTGTGACTGCCCAATTTCAGGAGGTGTGACTACGGAGAGGCTCACCATGTTCTGAGGTCTTTGGCAAGAAAGACCGCAAGGAGCACGCGCCAGACTTAGATTTGCGGCGCAGCGAGAGGGCTTAGTCTATATCCCATTGAGTTTGTCTCAGTTTGTCTCTCTCTCTCTCTCTTTATATATATATATGCTTATCCATGGCATTTCGATCAGTTGCAGTGTTGTAAGTCAAATCTGTCGCATCCTGGCACGGGTGCACATAGTCATGATGAGTTGCCATTGTTTGTTTGTGCACCAGTTTCGCGGAAATGATGGTTGCTATCCTTCTGCCCAAGGTCAACCCCCCCTGAGGTCACAGTGAGTGCATCTTTTCAATGCAACGGACAGATATTTATATCTATATTATATACAATATTCTTATGATTCTATGAACCATACCACCAACCATGCACACCCAAATCGGCTGCCTGTGGCACGGAGCTCGCCGGCTTGGTACTCCTATCCCATTTGGGCTGGACGATGTCGTCCTCAGGTGGTTTGGCGCCAGAGCTTCGGCCAGCGCGTCATTGATCGGATCCGGCCCAAGCGTCGTGAGGTGCCGCGCCGGGACTTGGGAGGCGGTGAGGAGCGGCGGTGGAAGGTCCAACAGAATCAGCCATTTGGTTTGGGGGTTTGGTGTGTTTTTGCATGTGTGGAAGAGGGGTTCATAGGGATGAGCGACGGCACCAAAGGATCAGATTCGTCATTCGTCAAGTTCCTTCGAAGAGATGAGGCATGAAGAGGTGAGGACGTAAGGTCGGGATGTGCATCAGATCTACCATTCCACCAGGGAGAGTAAGAACATTATATTTGCGATTTGATAATCCCTGTGCTAATTTTATCTACTAAACAATCAAGCAACGTAGGGGTATCAGTGGAACAACCGCCCTGTTGTGCTCCAACTGGAACTTTGATTTGTGTGTTTTGGTACCTGGCACCCCTAGAGTGTGCTTCTTTAGAGAATCACTTTGGGTTGATCACTGCAGGCGAATGCCCGAGATGCAGTTCCTGTTCATAAACAGTCTCAGAATGTCTCTGGCACGCCGTCAAACAAGTTCAATAGCGGATGGCTGTGCTCGTCAAAAGGACAAAATAACTTGTGAGTTATTATATATAAACATAAATAACAATTTCGTTCTTTGGAAAAAAAGGAAAGAGGAGCATGAGTTCGACCAAACACTGACGGTCCGATTCTTTAAATTCATGATTGTGTCATTGATTTGAGGTTAGAGGGGTCTGATTCTTCAGTGGTTGCACTGTTAAAGTCATGTTTTAGAGATGTGTCCAGCTGATGGATTTACATTTCTTTAGAGAGCAACAGGTTGGCACAGGGTGGGTTCCCTTGAACAAAAAGAAGCATGTCCATGTGCGAGGTGGAATTCGAAGGAGGATAGACCTGAAGGTCATCAGGCGACTACTGGATCTTCTTTGTGACAATGTGGTGCTGAGCGAAGCCTGTCACTTTTTTGTCAGAACGAGTTGAGACACCTCAAAACAAGACAGACCGCACTCTCCAAAAACAGGTGTTTCCTGGTTGCCTTAGCCCGTTGGAAATTCATTTTTGGCATCTCCCGTTCTGTCTCCTTTTGGTCACAACTTTCCCCAGCCATAGGAGGTTTGCACATGGAGGCGTGGGTTGGAAGCGTTGATGGCCTTTCTGCTTTGAGCACCCTGCCCGTTGACAGGAAGTCCACGAGGACTTTCGATCGGTGAACCTCTTGGACGAGGAGAGCATCACTTTTGAGAGCCACTCTGATTCCCGAACGTCGGCGCATGGTCGTGGGGGGGGAAGATGCACGACGACCGGGTTTCTTGAGTACACTGATAGTAGATCAATCAGGGACCGGTTTTTTTTTGCATCAGATCTTCCCTTCACCGTATCCCCACCCGCCACACGTCCACCTCACTTTGGAAACAAACCACACACAAAAAAAATACCAAAACGTCTCTCTGGTCGGCACTTGGGCCGCTCAGGGAGCGCCCGGAGGGCTCGTCGACCCTGAGGCTTCAAGGCTCTTTTGGCCAGCATCCACAAGACCTTGGAGACCTTCCCTCCCACCGCGCAGGCCAACCGCGCGGTCGTTTCGGCTCCCATGGCGACTCCGGCGAGTGGTCGGTCGGAGAATGAGAACCTCCCACCGGGCTTGGGGGTGGGGCAAAGCCTTTTGAGCAAGAGAGGTGATGCCTCTCAAAAGCTTGCAGACGATGGAATCGCGGTTGATGAGTGAATGGTGGTGTTGCCCATGTTTCCTGGCGCATGCTGACACTATCTGACACTTCATTGGTTGGGTTTTTTTAGCAGCATGCTCCCCATGTGAGGCAGATGCTGTGCAAAGCAGCCTGGTTAATTTCTTGATATGTCCCACTCCAAGCGGGGAGTGGGCCTACCAGTCCCAGCAGGACCTGTTCTCCACATTCTCCCCGTTTGACAGTTCAGCAGACACACCATGAATTGCGGAGCAAGTCGAACTAGTCCTTGGGCGCCTCCATCTTCGGCAGAGAGCGCACGGAGGGCACGGAGAGTACCGTCACGGGGTGATCTGGCTGGGCACAAGAACGATCATGCGAATCCTTGGACCCGACCACTTCTGGAGGGTTTGGACGTGTTTGGACCCAGTTCGCAGGGGGCCCTTGGACCCTTACCGAACCTTCACCGAACTGAGGGTCCTTGATTGGAGTTTCTACGGACGGCTCGGCTCGGCTCGGAAGGCTTGCCATGCGTTGCTTGGACCGGTGAGGTGGATGAATCCGGTGGTGGTGCAAAATCCGGACCTGGTCCGCGGTCCGCGGTCCTTCTCAGCTTCAAAGTCGGCTTCACTCGCCCCAGGTGGCAGCACAACAAGGGAGCTATTTGGCCGATCTCTTCGGCAAGGGCTGCTTGAAGGGAGATGAGGCACGGCACACCTGTTGCGCATTGGTCGCCGCGATCGAGCCCCTCAAGACACACCAGACCTATCCAGACCAAGCTTCGACCCCTCGAGGCCCGCGGTCCGCGGCGAGGGGGAACCGGGACCAATTCGCCCGAACCGTACGTTTCGGATTGGCACACCCGCAGGAAAGCTTGCAGAAGCTCAAGGAGGAATCAGAACCATTCACATATTTTCATAAAGGCCGGAGTGTGTCGGTGTGTATGCCGCTGATGGGACATGACGGAGCATGGAACTGGAGGAAGCCCATTTTGTAGAGGACAAGTGTTTTCCTGAGAGCTTTTGTCAAGAGAGGATCAGATTCGACAGCCCCTTCAAAAACGGGATGCTGATCTTAAGGATTGCTCTCGAAAATTTGGGTGCCCAGCAATGACAGAAAGGGCGAATGAGTGTTGAGTTCTTGAGGGGGTCCTGGGGACGGTATGCAATCATAGGGTGGGCCGGTTTGCTGGAGCACTTTGGGACTACCCTAAGAATCCTTGGGCTCTCCATGGCAAGGGGTCGGACCCTCCGTAGCAGGGTCCGGGCCTCAAAGCCCTATCTGTTTGAGGGCCCGGATTCTTAGGGTAGGAAAAAATCTCTTTACAACTTCAGCCCTGAAAAACACACCAAAAACATCACTGCACATCACTGCACCAACAAATCGGCAGATCTCCCTAGGCGCCTTGGCATACCTGGGTGGTGATCATGCGGCTTTTGTGCTTTGGCACGCTGAGGGGTGGGTGGAATTCTTGGAACAGCATGACACGATGACAAGAGGGACGCAATGGCTATGATCAATGACTCGGTTCGATGTGTATGTGCTGGGGTTTCGCGATGCTTCGAATTTTGCATTCTCCCCCTGCTAGCTAGCCCGTTTGGCCACCGACCCCACACTGCAAGGGCATCACACAGGCCATGAGTTGCGAGAAAGCAGGCGCTCACTTCAACAACTTTCAAATTTTGAGAGTTATGGGTTGAGGGAGGCTGCTTTAGCGTGTAGTAGTGCCACAAGCTGTCGGCATGTGCAGGCCTTTGCCAACGGTGCCATTCATCCATTATGATGCAACTGTCTTGCAAGGTTGGTGGGCACAATATAGCTAATTAGGTGAAATACCTGGATGTTCCTGGATCTTCCAACTGTGCCACAAGTGTCCGCCTTTTCATCCATCAAGAGCAGCCAAAAAAGGCGGCATAATTTGGTGCATAGCTGGAAGATCCAGTCATTGGAGTTCATCGATCCATGCGATTTCGTCATCTTCGTTCCTCTCCGAGGACTTGCCGCTGGTTGGCCCGGTCTCGGGACCTTTGGCTGCTTGGAAGTGACGCTGGATGTGTTCAATTCGGAACATGGTCGGCGAAGACAAAGATGAAGGGCTGAGTGGCACCC